GGTATAATGATGATTTCATTTGAAGTAACAGTATTTCCTTAATCTCCTCTCAGTGGGTTAGTATCATTAACAACGGATTAGCTTTTGTTTTATCATAAATTAACCCTTTTAATTATGAAGACGGTACTGAAAATCACTACTGTACAATATCTGTAATAAACTCAAATCGTTGTTGTTAAGATATTAATACAATCAACAATTAAAATGACCAATTAAAAGCAAAAAACAATAAAAATGGGAAATATTTAATGAACTACAAATCAACATGTTTGTTAGCTGTTGTTTTTTAATCTAATCGTTGGTCATCAACTGATTTATTGATATTAACTTGATTAGTTGGTTTAACTTTTTCTCGGACTCCTGAGTTACTTAAATTGATTGAGTCTAAGCGTATACATTAATCAGTACAATTAATTTTGAGCAGTTTTCATAAAGAGAACTATTTTGATAATGGTTTTATCGATTAAATATTTGATTGTCGTAATTGACTTAATTTACATGTGAAACATTTGATTTTTTGGATGGACACTTGTGTGTCCTCGCCGAACTTCTAACAAATAACTGACCACACTGACCACAGAAACAAGCAAAATTTGTATGAATGCTTTCCAAATGTTCTATTACCGACGATCGAATAGTATAAACCATACCACAAAGCGGACATTTGACCTTTCCATTTTCCTTACGAATGAATCCAACGAAGATTTGTCTCAGTCGTTTAAGATCAATATTGTAGAGTCTTCCTTGTGACATTCCCTTGAGCACTCGCTTAGCAGTTCCCTTGCGTATTTTTGGTGCTAATAATTGCTCGAAATCGGACTCATCCAAAGGCTTTTTATGTTTCACATGACTGAAAACGCAAGGATCTGGATTAAGCTCCGTTGATGTTTGTAGTCGCTTATAAAGGTGATCTGTTGAATAGGAACAAAGATTTACAGGGAAATTTTGTACTTGAATGTGTCCGTTTTGAATCAAATTTCTAGAGTAGAACCAAAAGTCTTTACGATTATAAACTTTAAGTTCAAAGCGCTTTTCAAGTGTTCTATTGATTCCGTCAATGGGTTTTCCTGCATCATGATCATTATTGAAGTTTGAATCTCTTTCAGTCTTTTTGTACACTTGACTTTCATTTTCACTTTCACTTTCGTCTGTTGATGATTGATGATCAGTTTCATCGTATCTTTGAATCGATTCCAAATAAGAATTAACTTTTGATTGCCATTTACGATTAATTGTTGACTGTATTGACTCGAGACGATCTTCGATCAATTTCAATGATCGTCTAAGAAATTTGATGGAATCTCGATTTAGAGACAATTTAATATGAAAAGAATCATCTCCATCAATAGCAATCAAAGATGATTTTACTATTGAGCTAATTTGCTCATGAAAATCAACACCGACGATATCAGGGCCAGCTTTTGTTTTAATAAATCCACTTGAACCATTCTTAAAATCAGCATAACAATTACCACCAAGGTTCATCAATTTATCGAAATGAGCCAATGAATTTCTCCGATCAAAACATTTAAATCTGGATTCACTGAATGCATCACTTTCACCGTGATCAGTACTTTCACTATTGAGATATTTCGTTGATTCCATGAAAATAAATCATTCAGTAAAAATATATTTGATTTAGAATAAACATATCAATGGAGATACTATTTAGTCAATTCTAGTAAACACAAACCAACGGTTTTCATTGAACAAAAATCATTTATGATAATCGTCCCTAAGTGTGGACAGACTGTTTTGTCTCTGACTCTACGGAAAACATTTACCTTATTGTGATTAAATTAAGTGTTTTCATTCAAGGGTCGTATTATAAATAATCAGTGGTCGAGGTCTAAGAGAGTAGTTTAAACAAGATTAAAAAAATCTCACTAAAATAGTGATCTAGATTAACGGTTATCTCTGGCAGATCATCAGCAATAAGAGATAAAAAAGTAATTCCAATTGAAGCAATTATATTTTCTTAGTTTTCCTTTAGTGGGTTAGTTCAAAGAATAATTCGTTGGTTCATAGGAGATCAACCCTTTTAGTTATGATGCTGAAAACTGCTTCGAGGGAAACCACAACTGTACAATGTAAACATCCCATCGTTGTTGAATGATTGTTTCTCCATTATTTTACAATCAATAATTTATGTTATATACCAGAAATTTTTTCGACTGTACCAATGTTTCTTATTACCGTTCATGTTGCGTTGTAGTACGTTAACTTGAGAAGTACTTTGAGAGTTGATTGGACTTTCCTGAGACTCCGTTTCACGATAAGTTTAGTGACTCTTTGTCGTTTTCGGTTCTTACACTTGACAATACAATCATTTCGAAGTTGATCAAATATTGAAAATCCAAACCAAAGACCTAAAATACTTCCTATGAAAATTAGATATTCACTTGGTGGTAAATTAGTTAAAGCTCTCAGGTAAACTATTGGCTCACTTGGTGATAGTAAGTAAACAACACCAAAATCCCCAGAAGCAATCGTCGGATATGCTTTGAGTTCAATCGAATATGATATTTGTTCACATTCAATGAATTTCAAACGATCACTTATTTGTCCAACAAGAACTTTGTATCTTTCTTCATATGCTTCATATGCTTCATAACCTTCATCATCATCTCTTTTTTCTTTCAGCTGATTCTCAAAACCTAAATTCTCCAAATTAATATTCCAAGGAACTAGAACATTAGGAGCGAGGTAAGGCTGTGGCTCTTTCAATGTAAAGTTTGTCAAAAGTTCTGAAAGTATTTTAATACGATCATAATCTTGACACTGAGTTTCAAATGGATATGGTAATGAAAGAGAAACTCGTTTCGAGTATCGAGCGAATATCAGTTGGAAAAGATCTGAGTTATCGTTGAGTGTACGATAATAAGTGAACGTAGTCTCTGGTAACTTTTTATTATCACTTAGTCTTATTCCAGATTTTGAATTCAATGTGTGAGTTAGAAAGGCAAATCCATCCATTGCAACTGAGGTCACACTCATGTCAACAGTTATTGGCCTTGATTCGTTTCGACAAGATATTCTCAAGAAAATTGCAAGAGCAGAAAAATATCGGCTCATTGAGCAAACCCTTTTGAGAAGATTTTTCTTAGTACTTTGTAATTCAAGCCTAAGAATTTTGGTTCTCAGGTCAATTGTTAACTCTTTTACATCTTTGACCTTAATAAAATGTGCTAACCATGCCGAAGAAACATAGGGATGAGCTTTTATCAAACTCGAACATGAGTTGGTGTAAATTTCAAAAGTACGATTATTTTCAGGTTGATCAAGTTCAGAGCATAAAATTGACATTTGATCAGGATAACGAATGAACAATTCAGTTAAATTGATGGCAATTGCCATTGGCACCATTAAATCGATATCGGGTAATTCTGTAAACGTTGGATTTTCAAAAGTTACATCACTTCGAACTTTAAATTGTAAAAATTCCTTGGTTGTATGTAAAAGTTGAATAAAACAACCAATTGAACAGACACCACGAACAAAGATTAAACGTGAGAGTTTCATTCTTATTCACGATCTACCGTTAATATTAACGATTTAAATTACTATCGAATGAAAAAGACTGGGAAGGTGAAAGTCTATTGATTATTTGAATGTTTCAAGTTCTTTTCAATTTAAGTGTATAAATGATGAAATTAATTATTTATAACTACTAAATATTGAACCATTAACATCATTTTATTATTAAGGTTCCGAGACAGAATATAATCAAGTTAACGATTCATAAAATGTTCGAGATTGTTTTTCAATATAAATGATGAATTAGCAGTACGAATCTATTGACAATTGTTAACGTTAATTCATTGACTCGCAATTGTTGTAGGTATTAGAACGTTTTATCATTTCGAACTTTATAACTAAGATATTCAATCGTTAACATGTAGATTTGAACGCTACAAACGAAGTAAACATACGAACTGGGACAAATAATAGATCGCTCAATAATGATCTTCATAGCTATCACAAAGAAAATGGACCATGAATGCTAACGAAAATACAAAATAATGAGCATTTAAATGCTTTGAATTTAATTTAACTGTGAAGTAAAAGTTTAATTAGTCAAGGAAAGTGAAAAGAAAGGTAAATTAATTTTCTACCACAAAGGTTCAATTATCGACAAATTGTCATTTTAGTGCAACGATTTATTAATGATTAGTTATTAATTATTATTATTGTATTAATAATAATTGATAACAGGATTTATCGCCAAGTTTTTGCTTGACGATAAGGAAATTAAATGATAAAAAATGAAATGATGCTCATTTACATTTGTAAGTTTCTTATTGATCAATTAATCAAAATGAAAATATGAATAGAGCCAAGATCATGTAATCATCATGTTTTCAGATCCAAGAAAAAGTATTCAAAGGCGCACACACTTGAGGACAACGATGAGTAACTATTAGAATTGATTTAGCTTTTCATTGCGATTGATTCAGTAATAATCAACTAAAACTCTGCAAAAAAACTGTTGAAATTTTGTCCAGTTCATCATGGAATATAAGCTCATTGTCTTCGTTACTCTTTTCACCATCGGTACTTGTGATACTGTCCCCAGGGAGTACAATTCATGTGGTTCTGCGTGTGAAGAGACTTGTGCCAATCTCAGGATCTGTGGGTCGCAATGTGTATCTGGTTATTTCTGTCCACGAGGTTATGTCGTGAATCATGACAAACAATGTGTTCGTATTGAAGACTGTTGATCCCGAAAGGAGCCTTTTGAGCATTCAAATATTGTTATTTACTATTTAACTCGAAGAAATTTTTGTAATCGTTAAATTTACTTTTCCATACAATAAAATGATGCAAGCGAATTGAATTGCAATAATTTGATTGGATCAATTTGTCAGTTGACTATTTTAATATAAAAAAAAGTTTTGTATTGATAATACGAAATGCTAGAATGAGAAATTAGCAATTAAACCCTAGAAAAAATTAGAGGTTTGATTAAGATAAAATTGTGAGTCGATCTTTGGAGTCGATTTTGTTGAAAAAAAAGAAATTATTTAATTTGTTCCAAAGTTAATTATTGTAGAGAATCGAGTCAGAATAAGTAGTCACACTGTTGAGAGCTGGAGTTTCGGTTAATGATTAGAATGGTGGGTTTGACCATCAGGTCCCTTTCGCCTTTGTGGACAATCGTGAGAAAAACAAATACCTCTTCGTAAATAGATTCGTCCACATGAACCACAGAAACAAGTGAAATTCGAATGCAAAGTTTCCATGTGTCTTATAACGTTAGCCTTTCCAATGTATTCTTTCACACATAATGGACATCTGGTCCATCGATCACTTTGCATTCTCATTCGTTTAGTGAAGATTAGACCTAATCGCTTGTAATCAATGTTGTAGAGTTTTCCTTGTGACATCCCTTTGAGAACCCGTCTCTTTATTTTATCAGATAGGAACGGGGCCAACAATGGTTCGAGATCCGATTCAGGCCAAGGTACTTCATTTTGTACACGGGAAAAGATTCGAGGATCTGGATCGAGTTGACTCAAGGCATTTACACGTCGTTTTACTTGTAATACATCATACTTACCAAGATAACTTGGTAGTGGCGATTTCACTGAACACCCATTTTGAATAAAAATTCCGTTATAGAACCAAAAGTCCTGAAGGCCTTTAATGACGAGAGGAAATCGTTTCGCGAATTTCGGATCGTATTGGTCATAAAGATTCTCCCTGTAAACATCTTTTTCGAGGGTCTTACATTTTCGTGTGTTTTTCTTTCTTATTTCAGTTTCACTTTCGCTCTCATCAGCGGATTGATTATCTTGATTATCTTGATAATCTTGATAATCTTGATAATCTTGATCAACAAATTCTTCTATTGATTCTGTAGAGGATTTACTGTTTGCTTTTCTATCATAACTTTTTCTGACCTTAGTTGACTTGAGATTACGTCCAAGCACTTTTAAAGATCTTCTTAGTAACTTGATTGATTCTCGATTCGAGTTTAATTTCAATAGAGCGACGTTACTCACAACCGAAGCAGCTTCAATCGATTTCGCCAAATTTATTTCATTTTCATAACTGCTCACATCAACCTGAGGTAATAAATTACCAGTTTCTACTTTAATCCAATCACTTGTACTAATCTTGCTATCGGCATCACAATGATCACTAAAGGCCATTAATTTACCAGGGGGAGTCAATGAGTTTTTCTGGTCAACACATGACACTTTGGACTCACTAAATTCACCACTTTCACATCGATTAGCACTTTCACCATTAAGATAATTCGATGATTCCATTATAATGAACAAATTTTCGAAGGAGAAATAAACAATTAATAATCAATAAATCATTAAAAGCGAAAAATAATCACAATGAGAAAACTTTACAAATGAACAGCTGAAGTGTCTTACTAATTGTTTCTTGATACAACTGTGAGTGTTTCTAATCAACACATGTATTATTTAGTTAAAATGAAAATCAACTTAATTTAAAATGAAAAACAATCAATTAAAACACATGTACTATAAAATCAATATTAGTAAAGACAAACTGATTGACCACTTTGACCAATTACTATTTATGATAAACAAATTGGCTACTAAAGGCACTAATCACTGAAGACCGATAATTTACCAATAAGTTTCTCTTGTCTACACATGACACTTTGGACACTCACTAATTTCACCACTTTCACCGTGATAAGAAATTTCACCATTAAGATAATTCCATGGTTCCATGATGCTAAATTAAATATTCGAGCGAGATAATCAACAGGCAAAAATTAGTAAAACCAAAAACAATCAAAACTAGAAAACTTTACAAATGAACAGCTGAAGTAATTTGTCAATTGTTTCTTGCAACAACTGAGTCTTTCTAATCAACACATTTATCAATTGTAATTTGGGTAAAATCATTTTAAATTCAAATCTACTAGATTTAAAATAAGAGACGCTCAATTAAAATACTAAATCGTAACTAGTTAAGACAAACTGATGGACCACTTTGAACAATTATTATCTATGATAATTGTCTCAAAGCATAAACAAATTGCTTTTGATACTGTGGACAATAATCAACTAATTGTAAGACAATTGATTGTTGATATTCAAGGGGCAGTTTCAAAATCAATCTAATCAACAGTTGAAGTCTAAGAAATTTAGTTCAAACCAGATTTAACAAATCTCACTCAACCAAAATCACAATCAAGATTAATGATTATCTCATAGAGATAATTAGCCAAAGAGAAATATTTTTCTGGTCTAAAGGTGATTCAATTTGAAGCAACAGCATTTTCTTAATCTTACCTTAGTGGGTTAGTATCATTAACAACGGATTAGCTTTTTTTTATAAGAGATTAACCCTTTTAGTTATGTATTAATAGATGATACTAAAAATTGCTTAGAGGGAAATCACTACTGTGCAATATACAAACTCCAATCGTTGTTGTAAGGATACAATCAGCAATTGAAATGACCAATTAAACGCAAAGGAAACACAAAAAAAAACAATAAAAATGGGAAATATTAAATGAATTTCAATTCAAAATGTTTGTTAGCTGTTATATTTTAATCAGATCATCAGAAATGAAAGCAAATTGGCGTAAAAACAATTAAATCAAATAAAATCAAATTTTAATGAACGTTGAGTTGAGGTGTTATCATAAAGAATTGTTTTGATTATGGTTTAGTTGATTAAACATTTGATTGTGATAATTTTGATGTTTACTTATCAGCTGAACATTTGTGAGTCTTAACCGTATCGGTTCTGAGAAAAAAATGACCACAATGACCACAAAAAACGGCAAAATTTGTGTGAATACTTTCAAAATGATCTATGCACGATGCTCGACAAGCATAAACCCTGGCACAAAGTGGACATTTGACCTTTCCTGGAGCATCTTCATAAATAAGACCACCAAAGATTTTACTCAATCGAGGATAATCAATGTTGTAGAGTTTTCCTCGTGACAATCCCTTTAGCACTCGTTTAACAATTTCTTTGGGTATTTTTGGTACTAATAGTTGCTCGGAATCAGACTCATCCCAAGGCTCTTTATTTTGTACATGAGCGAAAGTATAAGGATCTGGATTAACTTTTTTTGATTCTTCTAATCGTCGTTTAATATGATCTATGTTGGTCAGATTCAATGTTCGAGGGAAATTTTGTACCTGTAATTTTCCATTTTCAATCAAGTTTCTAGGATAGAACCAAAAGTTTTCGAAACGATTGGTGCAATACGGAATTCGTTTAACAAGTTGGTCATCATTTTCGTCAACGAATATCCTTGTATTAGTTTCCCTTGCAAACTGTTTGGACATTTGAGCTTCAATTCTACTTTTACTTCCGTCTGTTGATGATTGGTGATCAGTCTTATTGTATATCTGAATCGATTTCATAAATGAATCAACTTTTGATTTCCATTCACATTCAGTTGTTGACTGTGTTGGCTCGAGATGACCTTCGACCGTTTTCAATGATCGTCTAAGAAATTTGATGGAATCTCGATTTAAAGACAATTTAATTCGAAAAGAATCATTTTCCTCGATAGCTAACATAATCGATTCTACCAATGAACTTGTATCTTCATGACTATCGACATTAACCTGAGATGAATTATTACCAGGATTAGCTTCCATTTTAATCCAATCACTTGGACTAATCTTAAGCTCGGCGTAACAATGTCCATCTAAGTTCACTAATTTTTCAGGATCAATCAACACATTTCTTTGGTCACTTTCTTCATTATTTTCCCAATGATTATCACTCTCATCATTAGTAAGATAATTACTTGATTCCATGATAATGATCAAAGTTTCAAAGGAGATAATCACCAAGTAAAAATCAACAAAACACTAAAAGCACCAGAAAAACTTTTTTCCAATTAAAAAACTTGAACTTTAAAATGAACAACTAGAGAAATTCACTAATTGTCTACTTCATAGAACTGATTATTTGTAATCACAATTCTTCAGATGTGATAACTGTCAATTATTAAACTTTAATTAGTATATTCCTCTCATTGATAATAGTAAAAAAACTATTAAAATAAAATAAAGCTGAATTGTGGCTTTACTCTCACTAATTATCATAAATGATAATTTCGATAATCATTTTGACGATTAAATATTTGATCAAGATAAGACCTGAATGGAAAATTGATAGATTTTAATGTTCGAGACAATCGATTAGTATTTATGTTCCAGCCAAAATAAGATCAATCAATCAGTACATTTATTGGCAAAGTTTAGTATTCTTTTTGTGTATTCCATTCTATCGGCTATTTTTCTCCTTCTAGTCTTTATCGGTATCTTCCCATTGACCGATGTTACGAATCTATTGTAACCGAATTGAAGTCCAGCTAAAAGTCGATCGCAAATCGAGAACCCAAACCAGACTCTCAATATACTACCAATGAATATGAGATAATCACTTATCGGAACAATCATGACCATCAACATGAGGAAGTTCATTGTAAGGATTAGCTTCAATTTTAATCTAACCACTTTGAATGATCATTGGCATAAAAATGGCCGCCAAAGTCTATTGATTTTGAAAGATTATCATAAATGGGACTATTTTGATAATGATTTTATTAGTAAAACGTTTGTTTCTTTTTCGTAATTGACTTAATTTACATGCGAAACATTTACTTGGTGTTGATTACTTATGAATTTCTCTGTTTACTTCTTGATGGACATCTGTGGTACTTTGTTCCAACATTTCTGAGAAAAAAATGACCACATCGGCCACAAAAACAAGCGAAATTTGTATGAATGCTTTCCAAGTGCTTCATGACCCCAGGTTTACGACAGTAAACTTTACCACAAAGTGGACACTTGGCCTTTCCATTTGTTTCCACCTGAATGAGACTCCCGAAAATTTTACGTAATCGAGTGATATCAATAAGGTAGAGTTTCCCTTGTGACATTCCCTTTAGCACTCGTTTAACAATTTCCTTGGGAATTTTCGGTACTAATAATTGCTCGAAATCAGATTCGTCCCAAGGTTCTTTGTGTTGTACATGAGCGAAAGTGTAAGGATCTGGATTAAGTTCCGTTGAGGTTTTCAGTCGCTTATCAAGGTGATATCTGGAATAGGAACAAATATTGAAAGGGAAATTTTGTACTTGTATGCGTCCATTTTCAATCAAATTCCTTGGGTAGAACCAAAAATCTTCACTACGATTAACTCTGAATTGAAAGCGCTTAAGTGTTTCGTTGGTTCCGCCAAGAAGCTCCGCTGCGTTCTCAAAGGTCGAACCTTTTTTAACTCTCTTGAACACTTGACTTTCATTTCCACTTTCACTTTCGTCTGTGGATGATTGATGGTCGGTTTTACGTTTAGTCATCGAATTTCTGGGCTCGAAACGATCTTCGACCAATCTCAATGATTGTCTAAGAAATTTTATCGAATCTCGGGTCAGAGAAAATTTAATATAAATCGAGCTACTCATACTCTTAGCTAACTCAATTGATTTAACTAAATGACTCTTTTTTCATGGCCATCGACATCAACACGAGGCAGATCATTGTAAGGATTAGCTTCCGTCCTAACCCAATCGAATCCAATGTCTATGGTTTTATTAGAATCAACCAACACATTTGTTTTATCATCAACTTGATTATCTCCATAATTATCACCACTTTCACTTTCATTAAGATAATTTCTTGATTCCATGATGATGTCTTCAAGTTTCAAAGTATTAGATAATCAATGAGTAGCAATTAATGAATAACCGAAACTTTCACAATGATAAAATTTTAAATGAACAACTTAATTCACTAATTGTTTACTTCATGCAACTGCGAGTGTTTGTAACCATAATTCACAATTCGCAAATGTGATGATTATATCAATAATTACTTGTTGTACTTTAATCAGCGCATTTCTCTCATTGTTATGATAATAGAAAAAAAACTAAATAAAAGCCAAATTGACGGTTCGCTTTGAATAGCTATCGAAAATGATTATTTTGATAAACGTTTTCCCCGATTAAACATTTATTAATCAGTTTCTTTCAATTTCTACCATCGATTAGTACATTTGGCAAAGTTTAGTATTCTCTTTGTGTATTCCATTCTATCGGCTATTTTTCTCCTTCTAGACGGAGTTTTTATCGGTATCTTCCCATTGACCGATGTTACGAATCTATTGTAACCGAATCGAAGTCCAGCTAAAAGTCGATCGCAAATCGAGAATCCGAACCAGACTCCCAATATACTACCAATGAATATGAGATAATCGCTTATCGGAAGTAATGGATGAGCTCTAATAATAAGAATCGGATCAGTTGGTGATTGTATATAAATCAGGCTGAATTTTTCTTCCAAGATATTTTCGTTGGGAAGGTCATCTAATCTGATCGTTTTATAAGATACCCGTTGGCACTCAGGTGAGACAATTGTGGTAATACAATTTCTTGTAACTTCTGGTAACAATTCATCGTCATCGCTATTTGAATAGTTATAATGTCTTGGGTACTCTCCCCATTTACTCAAGACATGATTACTCAAATAAGATGAATTAGCTTTCGATGTATAATTTGTTATACAATCAGCAATGAATTTCGGTCTGTCGTAGTGACGACACATTGTTTCATACGGCGCTTCCAATGAATTGGATATAACCTTTGAATATCTGAGACGATGTTTTGAAAGTTTGGTATTAATTGGTAAGTAATTCGCCTCATCGATATCGGGCAATTTATTATGATCACTAAAACGAATACCAAAAGAAAGCTTTGAATGTACTCTAAGTCCACAATATGTACCATCTTCCGAAGCAAATGAATTGATTGGTGCAGAGAAAGGCTCATCACCATTTCTACAAGAGATTCGAATGTAAATCGCAAATGCATTGAAATATTCCGTTATATCACATAGATTAGATTCTAGAAGTTCCTTTTCATCGGGACCATAAATCCCATCGATGAAACTTTTCGTATCATTGACAAGATCTTCAATATCTCCAATGGTATAAAATGTTCTGTATAAATT